AACACAACTAACAAACATAAATAAACTCTAAATTGTTCAACTAATAAGATTTAATAAGAAAAAAATTATTAATTTGTTTAGAAAAAATAAAAGAAATTGATTTATCCAATATAAAAAAAATTCGGTTATTGGTCTAGAACCGAGAATCGAACCCAACCATTCGGTTCTCGATTCGGATGCCCCATTCGGATATTTCATTTAAGAAAAACTGCTCGATTAGGTTCGGTTCTGATTTCGGTTCAATTCGATTCGGACATTTTGTCCATCCCTAATAAATTGTAGAAGAAACTAAAATGTATACAAACTCTTGGATACAAGACTCGAGAATCATGAGCAAAATTCAAATTACGAAACATTTCGATTTCATAATATATTCATAAGAAATAACAAGACCTACTTCAAGCACAAAATAAATAAATAAATAAATAAAATCGTTCACAAACGAACACAGATAAACAAATTAAAAAATTAAAACTTTCAATAACAAGAATTTTCTTTATATATTATTACGAGTTCTCATGTCCAAAATCCATACAAAAGAAAAGTGAACTTTCTGATATCATTTTTTTTTTTTTAATGGTATTAATTGTTAGTGCTTCAATTGGAACATGACATGGATAATCAGAATTTAGTATAGACAAAGTTAAAACTATAAGATTGTAAGAAAAAATCTTAAACATTGTGTGTTATATATATTATCTGTGTATAAGAATAGTAATATCAAGTGAAAGAAACTAAGCAGCAGCATTATCATTGTCGTGTGGTGGTTCATAATTCAAATCAGGAAGTTTGTAATTTTGCGTTGCCGCTGCTCCCTCACCCGCCTCTTCTCCGCCTTCTTGTACGGCCTCCATCGCCTCTGCCCCGGCCTGTGCCTCTTGCAATAAATCCTGCATTAGTTCAACATGTACACCAGCAGCCGCACGGCCTGGATTGAGATGGCCGGGGACATCGGCGAACTCCTCTTCAGCCCTAAAAGTTGGAGGTGGAAAGGCACCTTTCCACCCTCGATCGGGATGCTTTCGCATGTGACCGAAGAGAGCCTTGGCCGAGTGGAATTGTTTACCACAAACACCGCACTGAAAGGGATTTCCGACATCTGCCTGCGCGCCTTGATTTCCTCCAGGACCAGCACCACCCGGTTCACCATCCCTTACTCTTTTCCTAATTATGGGGTTTCCAATCCCCACTTGACCAGTTGCATAGCCTCCGCCGCCGCCACTTGGCCCACTTCCACCCACCGGAATTCCCTGCGCCCCAAATAATCCGCTGCCACTTACATTTCCACTCGCACCAGCAGCTCCGCCAGACGATCCCCCACCCCCAGGGAATTGCCATTGTGGTTGTGGGCCTTGTGGCCTATAGGCCCTGAAGGCAGAGTGTCCCGGATGGCCCATTACAGGTGGAGCCACGGGTGGCCTTTGCAACGGAGAGGAAATATTACTGCCGCTGTCACGCTGAGGGCTGCTTTGATCAGGCTGTTGTGGGTCTTGTGGCCTATAGGCACGGAAGGCAGAGTGTCCTGGACGGCCCATTACGGGTGGAGCCATGGGTGGCCATTGCAAAGGAGCTGAAGCCGCATGGGGAGAAGAAGTATTAACCCCGCCGCGTTGAGGGCTGCTTTGATCAGGTTGTTGTGGGTTGTTGTGGTTGGAAGAAGATTCCTCGGCTCCGCCACTGCAGGTGTTCTTCATGATTGATTATTTATATCAAAGAGTGAGAAGAACAGTCTTCGAAAATGATAACAATGGCGATGGAGGCGTATTTATAGTGTAGGGGAACTTCTGATAATGGTAGCGTTTCATCCCTAATCCCAGTACACGCGACTCATCGTAAAGAGTTGCTTCGTTTCATTTTGAACCGTCAGATGGGAAAGGACGCTGGGATTGTTTCCCGGTGACGGTTTGGAAGCCGTGCCGAATCCATTTTCTCCTTATCATCTTCTGGCTTCGCTTCCTATCGTATCACATTGTAAAAAGGCGCGAAACTACTGACTAACACAAAATATTACCGACGCAATCTTTTTTGTCTTTCCTTTTTTAGTCGGTTATTTGCATGCATGCGATATAAAGTGAATAAAGGCAAAATAAAAGAAAATTTATATAGAAAATGTAAAAACGAATGAAATAAAACTTTTCGGCCAAGTTAAGGCCCTGTTTGTTTCTGATTAAAATCATATTTTAATTTAAGTTAAAATCAAACAATCAATATTAACCATATTTTTCATGGGTCCCACAGTTTTTCAACTACACATTTCAAAATTTTCAATCACAATCTACTAAAACTCTAATTTTAATCTCCACCAAACACCCACTAAATTGGTAGGAAACTTCGATCCAAAACGGAAAAAATCGTGAAGTTTGCATGACTTTGATCAGGGGCGGAGCCAAGTATAGTCCAGTGTGGGCACAGGCCCACACTGAACTTTGGGCTCGAATTTTTTTTTTTTTTTTAAGTTATAAGTTAATTTGCAGCCCATGAAGGAAGGCACATCCCAATCCAAAAAATGTAAAAACATTCCCAGTTCCCACCCGTTTGCAATTTGCTCCATTTCATTCCCAAATCCCACCAGCTTCTCCATTTGCGCCTCCGGCTCCGAGGCCCATCCGCCCCACTCGAGGAAACTCTTCCAACCAGGTACTTGCTTTTATTTCATGATAGTTATATCCATAAGGTCTTTCCATTGGTGGGATTTAGCAATTAAAATTTAAACCTATCAAGGATTACTGGGGAAGGTTTCCATTTCTACAAGTTTCAACCCTTAGATGTAAATTATAATAGTCTTCTGACCTTTGAGCCCGTTGAGTCCACATTTCCCGGCAGCAGACCTTCACCTTCGAGTCCACATTTCCACCGGTGATTCGACGGCAGAAGAAGAAGGTGAAGCCCCTCAATTTTGTCATTTGTGTACTGTTGTAATTTTTTATTTTTAAGATATGAAATTACTTTTGAATTGCTTGCAATCTTTAAATGGTATTGAATTGCTTTTCAATTGCTCTTGAAATTAGACATAGAAGCCTTAGGCCTGTGAAACCATCAAGCCTGATTCGGTGATTCCTGAAGCCTGCTTAAGTCTCGATGTACTCGGTGACTGTGACTGTGAGTTTGCTTACTCTGTGATTGAAGCCTAATTCCACTCCATATTGCTAAATGCTAATGCTGCCTCTTTGTAACTGTGAATGTGATTCCAGACTTTCCAGTAATTATTGCTATTTGTGTTGCACTGTAAATTGAAAACATTCTTAAATCTTAATAACAATAATGTTTAAATACAGATATGAAATGAAGAGATTCTTTCAAAGAAAATCGAATGTCATTTTTAGTATTGTCGTTTGACTCGCAACTTTCTTTTATTTTTGTTGCCTTTTGGATACTCTCTATAAGTATGGATACGTGAAGGTGGCTACTGAGGTGTTTAATAAGGAGAAATATAGAGTTGAGGCTGATTTTAAGGTTTATACAATTTTGATATACGGTTGGTGTAAAACAGGGAAAATCAAGATGGCTCGAAAGTTTTGGAGGGTGATGTTGGAGTGGGGATTGAGATGGCTTTAAGGTTTTGGAAAATCGAGATGGCTTGTAGTTCTTCAATTTCAATATCATCCATTCTCTTCAGCGAATTATCTTCCTCGTATCCTTGTTCTTCTAAAATGTCATTTCTGCTAAGTAGTTTCTCTTGATCATCCTTAATGGCTTCTCTAACTTTAGCATAATCGTTACCATTTTCCTTGCTTTCATCTTCCACCAATTCAATTCTCACTTCAATTTCTTCCTTCATGTCATGCTCTTGTTCATTTTCCTCCATTGAAACTACGTTCCCGGGATTCGTTTTGGTCTTCTACTACTCGTTCCCTTTGCTCTTCATCCATAGCAACTACATCCACCTTAACCAGGGATTCCATATTTTCCCCTTCAAATTTCCTATCCTCTTCAACTCCTATTGGCTTTTGACCCTTACATTCTAATTGGGGGTGTTCACATCCATGACTAAAAACTCGACGTTCGGCGTGGACAAAATTGTGCCCACACTGAACGCCAATCCTGGCTTCGCCCCTGACTTTGATGTTGGATGCTTTAATGAAGTTCGTCGTAAAAAACGAGTATTTCTAAAGTAAATTTCAAAGTCTGTCACTTGAAGGATCGGATAGATACAATAGAAATAAATAACAGTCAAACCATAATTATATCAAAACTTTCAACAACAAAAGAAAAAACTTACAACATTACAATGTATTCCAACAAATTTTAAAATTTGTCTCTCCAGTTTGGTGGTTGACGTCTATCGATTTTATTTTCACGTTTATTATCTGATAATATTTTATAGTTGACCTTATTATTAAACAACTTGTATCTTCACCTATTTTATAGTTGACCTTATTATTAAACAACTTGTATATAAATTAATTTAATTAAACAACTTGTATCTTCACCTACAATGTCATTGCAGAGTAACAGAGGTGCACAAACCATTCGAATCATAATTGTGACTACAACATTTAGCCATTATCTCATGTAGATTAAAATCAGATTTTTAATAGATTTCGATAAAAATTAATGAAAGAGAAATGTTACATCTACAGACTTTTTACACATATATTTTGACAACCCTCTCACATGGGGGGTGGGGCCCACAATCGAGGACCCCACACCCATGTGAGAAGGCGTCAAACTTACTGTGTAAACATTCAGCCTTTTTCTTAATGAAATATATGATTGAGAAATTCTGGATCTTATGAAATAAATGATTTGTTGACTTTGATTTTAGATTTTTAGTACATTTTCATATATGCCAAACATGGAGTTAATAGAGTCCGAAACAGACTCGAAATATTCTTTGCTTATTTCATTGAATCTCACACATTTTCGATTACATTTAAGGATATAATATAGATCACGACAAGAGAATTATAATACGAATATCAATCTCGCTATATTGTTTGTTAAAAAGACCTGAAACTCACGGTTCTTATAAATATGACACATTAAGCTTCGTTTGGTGTGGATTAAAAATAGATTTTTAGTAAATTTTAATAAAAGTTGAAGAAATGTGATGTTGAAAAGTTGTGGATCCATTTCGTTTTCAAAACCAAACAATTTTTTATTATTTATTTATTTGCAGTTTGATATGGTTTCAAATCACAATTTAGTAACATAAAAATTACATATTTTAAACAAATCGATTAATAAATATATTGGTTTGAATTTCACTGTAACACTTAAAATTGGAAAAAAAAAAAAAAAATTTGGAACATATACGTAACAATACTAATATATTTATTTCAACAAATTTAAACCAATAAATTAATATGAGATTAAACTAAAAAATTTAAGCTTGAAATTAATTTATTATTTAGATGAGAAAAATATTATCATGTGTAAATTACTACTTTTCTAAAGAACCAGTATGAGTCAACTAACAAGTAAATTTTTTGAAATATAAATTGATCTAATTATTAAATTATCTTGGTTAAAACAAGTATTTAAAAAAATTTGGACGAGTAGTTTGGTTTGGTTTCAAGCGGTTTTTAACCACAAAACTTCTAAATCGAACCATTTTCAAACAGTTTGGTTAAGTTTGAAATTGTAGAAATCTAAACCATATGGACCCAAGTTAACTATTTTAAAACCGCGATTTCAATTTAAGTTGACGGTTTTTCCCACTCTCTCTAAGTAACAAACAGCGTAGGATTTTCAATTTGAGGAGCAAAAACAATGGCTCAGCCTTATTTTCACTAAAATATGAGCACACAGGAAGAAGTGGGTACTTTATTATGGGAAATTTTATATCTATGAGATTAAGTACCATTTTAAAATTGATAAACAAGATTTAAAATTTCAAAAATCAAACATTGATTAAAATTTATTTATGAAATAATTAACTAAAAATATATTTTATTAATTAAATTTATTAAGATCACAATTCTATAATATTTGGTTACAAATTATCGAATAATTGGTTACAAATCAAAAATTTATAGGACATAATTTTTTCATCGATTATAAATCAAGAAATTTATAAGTCAAGATTTATTTATCGATCACAAATTTTATAAGTTATAAATTATTTGTTGGTCACAAGTATCGGTCATGTATTATTTATTGGTAACAAAATATTTAATTTATTGGTCACACTCTCCAATAATTAGCCACCCACCATCGCACTACCATCACCAACAACATTACCACCACCTCACCAGCACTGCCAACTTCACCACCACAGCAAACATCACAACCACCATTACCCAAACACAACTAAAAAAACAGATCCAAAATTATTGGTCATCGCCACGACCACCTACACCACCTCACCAACACTGTCACCGCTAGCACCACCAACAATAAAACCCACCCTAAAACCACTATAGTAGCTAGAGCCATTGTCAAATCTGCTCCTTCCTCCACCACCACATCACCATCAACTCACCACCGCTACCGCCACCACCACAATCACCAACTGCAAACGCCACCAATAAAATCACTGCACAAACTAGATCCAAAATTAGAGTTGCACACCAGCGATGATTCTACTGCTGAGCGCAGCTTCATTGCCGCGGCCAAGACCACCACCTCATCCCCTTAACATAAACCGTCGTCGATCACCTATTCCACCGCCAATATTCTTCATCTTGTGGAAGCCACTCCTTTACAGATCTTTCACACAACTTTCATCCTCATCAACAATCTCATAGCACCT